TTCTTCGTCCTCCTCTTCGTCGTCGTCGTCCTCCTCCTCCTCCTCATCCCTTCTCCTCCTCCTCCTCCTCCTCCTCCTCCTCTTTCTCCTTCTCCTCCGCCTCCTCGTCCTCCTACTCCTCCCCCTCCTCCCGGGGCCCGCTTGGGAGCCTCTTGGGGCCCTCTTGGGGCTCTCTTGGCCGTCTGGGGGCCCTCTTGTGCCGTCTTGGGGCCCTCGTGGGCGGTCTGGGGGCCTCTTGGGCAATTTTCGGTCCCTTTGGGGGGCCTCTGGGGCCGTCTTGGGACGATCTTTGGGGCCTCTTGGGCCGTCTTGGGCCCGTCTGGGGGCTCTCTTGGACCGTTGTGGGCCCCCTTTGGGCGCCCCTGGGGCCGTCTTGGGACGATCTTTGGGGCCTCTTGGGCCGTCTGGGGCCCTTCTCGGACGGACAACGGGAGAACCCGAGAAACCTCCAAAAGCCATAGAGAAATTAATATTTTTGGCCTCCTGAAGCCCTCTCATGGGGCCCTCTTGAAGGCCTCTGGAGCCGTCTCGAGACTCTCTGGGGCCGTCTAGCGGCCATCTGAAGCTCTCTTGGGGCCGTCTTGGGGCCCTCTTGGGCCGTCTTGGGGCCCTCTGGCCGGTTCACCAAAAAATGCGAAGAAAGGAGCAATGGGAGCCGCCTGGGAGCCGCTTCGTTTGAAAACATACGCAGGAAACGGGCCATTACCAACCCAACAATCCCGCCTCAACCCCCCTCTGCACTCCCCCTGAGGAGGGCTTCGCCCCTGCTCAACGTCACTCGCTCGTACCTCGCTCTTTCCGTCATCCTGTCGGCCCCGCCTCGCCCCTCCCCTGAACCCCTCCCTTTAGAGCTTCGCCCCACATTGGAACGTCATCACTCGTACCTCGCTCTTTCCGTTACCTGGGCCGGCACGGAAACGGAAAGAGCGCTTCAGCAACCTGCCCGAGATGGCTCATGGCACCCTTCGCTCTTGGGAGCCTTGGTGGTTCGAGCTTGTTGCGTCACCGCTCGCTCTTGGGAGCCTTGCTGACAAGCGTGTGTCACGTCACCACTCTCTGTTGGGAACCTTGTTGGGAAGAGCTCGTTAAGTCACTGCTCTCTGTTCAGAGCCCTCGTGCCCAGAGATGCTTAAGTTGCCTCTCGCTCTTGGGAGCCTTGGTGGTAAGAGCTTGTTGCGTCACCGCTCGCTGTTGGGAGCCTTGCTGGTAAGCGTGTGCTACGTCACCCCTCTCAGTTGGGAGCCTTCCTCCTCCTCCTCCTCCTCCTCCTCCTCCTCCTGCTCTCCTCCTCTTATTATCATTCTTCTTCTTCTTCTCCTCCTCCTCCTCCTCCTCGTTCTCCTCCTCTGCCTCCTCCTCCTCCTCGTTCTCCTCCTCCTCCTCCTCCTCCTCCTCCTCCTTCCTTCCTTCCTTCCTTCCGAACGCATGAGGCGATCCCCCCTTCGGGACGCCCGCCTGGCCGGGTCGGCGCGGGCCACCTAGCGCCCAGCCCGCGGCAACCCCTCTCCGCGGCCAGGGGGCCTGGCGGGTGGCGCCCGACGCTGGCGCGGGGGGCGCCTGCGCACCAGCCCTCCGGGTAGGGGGTCCCCCGGCGGCCCCTCCGACGCTGGGCCCGGCGAGTGCCGCTCAGTGGGTCGCCTCCGGCAGCCCCGCTTGGGGCGGGTGGCTGCTCGGTAGGCACTCTCACCAGAGCGGGGTGGCCATGCACGGGCCGACATCGGTCCACGGCGAGTAGCAGCACTCCCAGAAGTGTCCAGGCCAGTCACCAGACACCCCGGTGGCGCCCGGGGGCGGCCCGCCGCAGGGCAAGTTTGGCCAGCGCTAAGCTTCAGGCCACCCCGGGGTGCTCACCAGCGAAGCCCAGGGCCGCCCCGAACCGTCCGAGTGCTCATGGCGAGCCCCCCCCCGACGAACGCCCGCCCCAGCCCCGACGACGGGGCCGCCCCCCAGCCCCCGGTCCCGCGCCAGGGGCTGGGCCGACCGGAGCCGAGAGGCTCCGGTGCGTCCATGGGTGCCTTCAGGACGGGGCGTCAGCGCGGGTGTCCTCCGGGGTCATGGGCCCCCCCACCTCAACCTCTCCGGCGCGGGCCCAGGCCAGGCACCAGGGCAGGGCCAGGCAGCAGGACGGCCCCCAAGGCCCAGGGCAGGGAGGACCCCTTTAGTACGTCAGAGCACACCGGCAAGATCTGCTCTCCTGTGCTAAGGGCCGGGGGGACGGCGAGGGTGCAGAGGCCGGGGGGGAGCGAGGGGGGCAGGGCGAGGGGGCAGGGGGAGGCGAGGGGGGCCGGGGACGAGTCAGGGGGAGGGCAATGTGCCGCTACTTCTTTTAAGTGCCTCGCTACTCCGCTCTGGTTATATTGGGGGCGGCGCGCGGCTGCCTCCGCGGCTGCCTCCTCCGCGGCTGCCTCCTGCCGGCGCGCCTCGGCGGCCGTGAGGGGGCTGCGCGCCCAGCCCGCAGCTGCCAGCCCCGCGCGCCCCAGCGCTGCCACCGCTGGGGGGCACTGCTCCAGATGGGTCACGATCTCCAGCGAAGCGCCGCAGAACTGGCACGCGGCCACCGCCCCGGTTGCGTCGCGCAGGAGGGCGCCCTGTAGGGCGAGGCGAGCCCACGCCCGGACCTCAGGCAGCGTGGCTCCCTGCGCGCTGAGGTCCGCTGCTGTGATTTCGGTGCCTGCTGGCCGCTGGAGGGCTTCCCGCTGCGCGGCCTCGGCCAGCCATGCCCGTTCCTGGGCGCGGGCGGCAGCCCGCACATGGCGCCGGAACCTGATCGCGGCGGCCGGCCCAGTCGCCGGCCCGGGCGGCTCAGGGACTCCCCAGCGTGCTATTAACTGGCGGACGTGGTGTGTCCATGTGCCAGCTGCGTCTTGGGCGAGCGCCAAGACCGCGTTGGCCTCGGCGCATCTCGGCTCCACCTGGGCTCGGCAGTACAGCCGGATCGCGCGCTCTTCCATGAGCGTCGAGAGCCGCATCGGCCACCCCACGTGGCGGAGGAGCAGGGCCCGCGGGATGGGCCCGCAGACTCCGAGGGCCCCTCGGGCCCACCGCTTTTGGATGCGGTTGAGCGTTGGCCCACTCGCCTTCGCGTGGATGCACAGCTCAGCCCCGTACGCGGTCTTGGGCTGGGTGCAGGTGGTGATGCCGAGGGAGACCTCCTGCAGCGAGAACCCCAGGCCGCTCATCGTCTGTATGTGCCGCCGCCCAACCTCGCCCGCCGCCCGCTCCATGGCAGCGAAGTGCGCACTGCCTGGCTGCCCGGACGATCGCTGGATGCCCAGGCTTCTGTACTCGTCCTTCTCCTCCTCCTCCTCCTCCTCCTCCTCCTCCCTCTTTCTCCTCCTCCTCTTCCTTCCTCCTCCTCCTCGTCTTCTTCTTCTTCTTCCTCCTCCTCCTCCTGTTCCTGTTCCTCCTCCTCCTCCTCCTCCTTCCCCTCCTCCTGCTCCTCCCCCTCCTCCTCCTCCCTCGTCCTCGTCCTTTTCCTCCCCCCCCTGTATCTCCTCCTCTTTCTCCTCCTCCTCCTCTTTCTCTTTCTCCTCCTCCTCCTTCTACCTCCCTTTCTCCTCCTCCTCATCCTCCTCTTTCCCCCCCTCCTCCTCCTCCTGCTGCTCCCTCCCTCCTCCTCTCCTCCTCCTCCCCTTCCTCCTCCTCCCTTGGCCTCCTCGTCCTCCTCTCCTGCTCTCCTCCTCCCTGCTCCTCCTCCTCTCCCTGGTCCTCCTCCTCCTCTTCCTCTCTTCCTCCTCTCCTCCTTCTACCTCCTCTCCTCCTCCTCCTCCTCCTCTCCTCCTCTTCCTGCTCATCCTCCTCTGCTCCTCCTCCTCCCTTGGCCTCGTTCTCGTTTCCTCCTCCTCCTCCTCCTCCTCCTCCTCCTACCTCTCCTCCTCCTCCTCCTCCTCCTCCTCCTCCTCCTCTTCCTCCTCCTTTTCCTCTTCCTCGACAGCGCTCGTGCTCTGTGAGGGTGCGAGATCGCTTACTCAGTGTCTTGGAGCTCCCTTGGTGTTAGGCTTTGGTACGTCATACCAAACACCTAACAACTAACCTTGCGACAATCCATGAGTGTGGCCTCTCTGGGCCTTGTTTGGTGTCCTTTTGGCGCTCCTTTGGATCGTCTTGGGGGGCTTTGGCCGTCTTGGGGCCCCTTGGGGCTCTCTTGGGAACCTTTTGGGACCCTCAGGGGCCTCTCTTGGGCCGCCTTGGGGCCCTCTTGGGCCGTGTTGGAACCCTCTTGGGCAACCTCGGGGCCGTCTTGGGGGCCTCTTGAAATATCTTGGAGCGATCCTGGGAGCCTCTTAGGCTGTCGTGGACCTTGTGAAGACCAAAGAAGCAGTTATGCTCACCATGTACGTTTTGCCAGAGGCATGTGGCGAGTTTTGCCTCTGGGGCGTCCTTTTGGAAGCCTCGTGGAGCGTCTTGAGGGCCTCTTCGCGTCTTGAAACCATCTTCTTTGGGCGCTCTCGGGCCGTCTCGGGACCCTCTTGGGCCTCCCTGAGGCCGTCGTGGCGGCAGCCTGGGCGGTCTTGGGGCCGTCTTGCCCTCTGGGGCGCTCTTGGGGCTGGCGTGAGCCGACCATGGCCGAACACTGGGCCTTGGGGCCGCCTTGGTGCAATCTTGGGGGCCTCTTGTGCCGTCTTGGGGCGATCCTGGGGGCCTCTTGGGCCGTCGTGGACCTAGTGAAGACCAAAGGAGCATATACGTATGCTAACCAGGTACGTTTTCCCACGGACATGGGGCGAGCTTTGCCTCCGGGGCGTCCCTTTGGAGGCTTCGTGGAGTATCTTGAGGGCCTCTTTGGAAGTCTTAAGGCCGCCCTGGGCCCTCTTTGAGCGCACTCGGGCCGTCTCGGGGCCCTCTGGGCCTCCCTGGGACCGTCGTGGCGGTGGCCTGGGCGCTCTTGGGGCCGTCTTCGGCCGTCTTTGGGCCCTCTGAGGCGCTCTTGGGGCTGACTGGGACCGTCTTGGGCAGAGCATGGGCGTACATTGGATCTATAGGGTCCTTTTCCATTGTTTTTCTGTTTTCTTCAGGAGCAAGCAGACCCAGAAACGACCGACGCCGGCGGGACGACCAACTCAGATCCCGACAGGGCGGCGGCGGCAACAACAACAACAACGGACGGCAACGGATCCGGTCGGGCTTCCGCGCCGTGCTGCCCAGCGCAGCCGAGCCCGTGCGGTCGCACGCAGCTCTGCTACAGAACGAAGCCGCTTTCGGGCGGCGCAAGCGAGATTGCACACCATATCAGGAAACAGGGATAGGAGGAGGGGGAGGGGGAGATGATTCGGCTGAGCAAAAGTGTTTAAGGAGGAGGGGGAGGATGATGAGGAGGAGGGGGAGGAAGAGAAGGAGGAGGCGAAACGGCCACTGTAGAGCATTCGACCTGAACCACTTTCGGTCCCTCGAAGGCTTGGCGTCTGGAAACATCTACCCGCATCGTGGGCAGACCAGCGGGAAAAGTTGACATACATGCACCTGACTTCACCATGAGTGCTGAACAATGAAACATACAACGTTTGCATACGAAGTTGATACATAGTTGTTGTCATGCTCGGCAATGGGTAAATAGTTGATAACACATTGGTTCATAGCTGATGCAACGAATACTTCAATGCTCACCAAAGTTGTCATACATGCATCCAACGTTGATTCACAATGAACGCTCACCATGCACCTGACGGGTCGACGCGGTCGCGACCTCATCTTTGCTGCTGCGGCCGATGGCAATAATGAGCGCTATTTCGTCGACGACGCTGTCGCTTGTGTGCCTGCTGGGAGCCGCCGTTGAGTTGCGGCGACAAAACCTGGGGTACAATGCACGCGGGCAGCGGCGAAGTTGCGACGGCAGGCTAAGATCCTTCAAAGAACTCCACCTCCACATCGTCAATATCAACGCCCGCTGCCGTGGCAACCACAGCTTTTATGGAATTTTCGAGCGCATCCTGGGTCTCCTGGTCCTGCGACAGTAGGGAGAAATCCACTCCCTGCACCGTCACCCCGAGCGACACCTTCTCGCTCGGCTCCGCTTGCCCTCCGCCGCACACGCAGCACGCCTCCTGCGCGGAGTGCCCAAAGTTGCTGTACAGCGAGGCGTCCGCTGGGCAGTCCATTGCTGCATACCAATCGCAATCGTACGCGGGCCCCGTGGTGTCGTACCACTTGTGCGAATCCGTCACGTTCTCCGTCACGTTGACGTCGAAGCATGGCACTGTGGGAGCTGGCGTGGGCATGAACGTCGGAGATCCCGTGGGAGGGACGTGCCCGGTGCGTGTGGTGGAAGTCTCCGACGTGACAGTGTAGGTGGGGGACACAGAAGCGCAGATGCACTGGTCTCTCTTGCTGCACGCGCCCCTGTTGGTTCCGTCGGAGTTGAATTTGAGGACGGAGTTCTCAATGTAGCAGTAAGGTGGGTCGGTCCACCCTCCACTCTGGCCATCGTCCTCGGCTTCGACGGTGCTCAGATTGAGCTCGTGGGCGGCCAGCGTGCAGCCCTCGATATAGTATATCCACCTATCGCATTCGCCTTGCGTCCACACGTCGAAGACAACAGTAGTCACTGTCGTCACCGAAGAGCTGGACTCCGTCGTGCTGGACTCCGTAGTCGCCGTGCTGGAACTCCCAGTGGTCGAGGACACCGTCGTGCTGGAACTGACGCTGGCAGTACTCACGGTGGTTGAGCTTCCAGTGGTCGGGGACACCGTCGTGCTGGAGCTGTCACTGCTCGTGCTCACTGTGGTTGAGCTTCTGGTGGCTGAAGACGCCGTCGTGCTGGAACTTTCGCTGGTTGTGCTCACAGTCGTGCTGGAACTCCCGCTGCTTGTACTCACACTGGTTGAGCTTCCTGTGGTCGAGGACGCCGTTGTGCTGGAACTCTCGCTTTCTGTGCTCACAGTCGTGCTGGAACTCCCACTGGTCGTGCTCACGCTGGTGGAACTTCCTGTAGTCGAGGACGCCGTTGTGCTGGAACTCTCGCTTTCTGTGCTCACAGTCGTGCTGGAACTCCCACTGCTTGTGCTCACACTGGTTGAGCTTCCTGTGGTCGAGGACGCTGTTGTGCTGGAACTCTCGCTCTCTGTGCTCACAGTCGTGCTGGAACTCCCGCTGGTCGTGCTCACGGTGATCGAACTTCCTGTGGTCGAGGACGCTGTGGTGCTGGAACTCCCGCTGGTCGTGCTCACGGTAGTGGAACTTCCTGTAGTCGAGGACGCCGTTGTGCTGGAACTCTCGCTTTCTGTGCTCACAGTCGTGCTGGAACTCCCACTGCTTGTGCTCACACTGGTTGAGCTTCCTGTGGTCGAGGACGCTGTTGTGCTGGAACTCTCGCTCTCTGTGCTCACAGTCGTGCTGGAACTCCCGCTGGTCGTGCTCACGGTGATCGAACTTCCTGTGGTCGAGGACGCTGTGGTGCTGGAACTCCCGCTGGTCGTGCTCACGGTAGTGGAACTTCCTGTAGTCGAGGACGCCGTTGTGCTGGAACTCTCGCTTTCTGTGCTCACAGTCGTGCTGGAACTCCCACTGCTTGTGCTCACACTGGTCGAACTTCCTGTGGTCGAGGACGACGTCGTGCTGGAACTCTCGCTCTCTGTGCTCACAGTCGTGCTGGAACTCCCGCTTCTTGTACTCACACTGGTTGAGCTTGCTGTGGTCGAGGACGCCGTTGTGTTGGAACTCTCGCTCTCTGTGCTCACAGTCGTGCTGGAACTGACGCTGGCAGTGCTCACAATGGTTGAGCTTCCAGTGGTCGAGGACACCGTCGTGCTGGAGTTGTCACTGCTCGTGCTCACTGTGGTTGAGCTTCCAGTGGCTGAAGACACCGTCGTGCTGGAACTTTCGCTGGTTGTGCTCGCAGTCGTGCTGGAACTCCCACTGGTCGTGCTCACGGTGGTGGAACTTCCTGTGGTCGAGGAAGCCGTTGTGCTGGAACTCTCGCTTTCTGTGCTCACAGTCGTGCTGGAACTCCCGCCGAACCTCTCGCTGGTTGAACTCACTGTGGTGCTTGATGTGGCGGAACTCGTGGATGCCGCGGTGAGGTACAATGTGACGGTGGAGTTAGCCAGGTAGCTGTTTGTCAAACCAACGGTCAACACAATCGACCCGATGCTCGCAATGATTCCCGTCTCGCTGTTGCCTCCGCCCTGAATCAAAATGATGTCGCCAACGCCGAAGCCCACCGTGGATTCTACAAGCAATTCCGTCTCACCTGCTGCTACTGGTGACGTCAAAACTGTCGATACTGGCGCCGTCGTTGGTGGCAAACCTGGCGTTGGCGCCGGAGTCGGTGCTGTTGTCGGCGCGAACGTTGCCGAACGTGTTGGCGCAGGCGTTGGAGCTGGTGTCAGCCCTGGTGTAGGGCTTGGCGTCGGCGCAAGCGTTGGAACCATAGTCGGTGCTGGTGTCGGAGTAAATGTTGGCGAGAATGTAGGCGCAGGCGTCGGAGCTGGTGTAAGAGCAAGTGTTGGCGCTGGCGGAGGAGCTGGTGTTGGCACTGGTGTAGAGCTTGGCGTCGGCGCAGGCGTTGGCGCCGATGTTGGCGAACGTGTAGGCGCAAGCGTCGGAGGTGGTGTCGGCGCTTGTGTAGGGCTTGGCGTCGGCGAAAGCGTTGGCGCCCTCGTCGGTGCTTGTGTCGGAGCAGATGTTGGCGAAAGTGTAGGCGCAAGCGTCGGAGCTGGTGTCGGCGCTGGTGTCGGAGCAAGTGTCGGCGCCGGCGTAGGAGCTGGTGTCGGCACTGGTGTAGGGCTTATCGTCGGCGCAGGCGTTGGCGCCGTAGTCGGTGCTGGTGTCGGAGCAAATGTTAGCGACAGTGTAGGCGCAGGCGTCGGAGCTGGTGTCGGCGCTGGTGTCGGAACTAGTGTCGGCGCCGTAGGAGTTGGTGTCGGCACTGGTGTAGGGCTTGCCGTCGGCACAGGCGTTGGCGCCGTAGTCGGTGCTGGTGTCGGAGCAGATGTTGGCGAACGTGTAGGCGCAAGCGTCGGAGCTGGTGTCGGTGCTGGTGTAGGGCTTGGCGTCGGCGCAGGCGTTGGCGCCAGAGTGGGTGCTGGACTCGGTGCAGGAGCTTCGCACGCGAAAACCAGCCTGCCGCTATAGTCCGGGCCGTCTCTCGTCAGCTCGCAAACGCTCCAGCAACCGCAGAAATTGCCAACGGTTCGCCACACTGCAAAGTTGGCGCACATGCTCCGGCACAAGCTCCGGCACTCGTCGAGGGTGTCAAGGGCACTACTGCCTCCGATGTATCCCCCTACCCCTTCCGTGCAGAAGAGGTCTCCAGCCGACGTGTCCGAAATCATGTGGGCGAACTCGCAGGTCGACTGCGGGCATGTCGGTGCTGGTGTCGGAGCAAGTGTCGGCGCCGTAGGAGTTGGTGTCGGCACTGGTGTAGGGCTTGCCGTTGGCGCAGGCGTTGGCGCCGTAGTCGGTGCTGGTGTCGGAGCAGATGTTGGCGAACGTGTAGGCGCAAGCGTCGGAGCTGGTGTCGGTGCTGGTGTAGGGCTTGGCGTCGGCGCAGGCGTTGGCGCCAGAGTGGGTGCTGGACTCGGTGCAGGAGCTTCGCACGCGAAAACCAGCCTGCCGCTATAGTCCGGGCCGTCTCTCGTCAGCTCGCAAACGCTCCAGCAACCGCAGAAATTGCCAACGGTTCGCCACACTGCAAAGTTGGCGCACATGCTCCGGCACAAGCTCCGGCACTCGTCGAGGGTGTCAAGGGCACTACTGCCTCCGATGTATCCCCCTACCCCTTCCGTGCAGAAGAGGTCTCCAGCCGACGTGTCCGAAATCATGTGGGCGAACTCGCAGGTCGACTGCGGGCATGTCGGTGCTGATGTCGGAGCAAGTGTCGGCGCCGTAGGAGTTGGTGTCGGCACTGGTGTAGGGCTTGCCGTTGGCGCAGGCGTTGGCGCCGTAGTCGGTGCTGGTGTCGGAGCAGATGTTGGCGAACGTGTAGGCGCAAGCGTCGGAGCTGGTGTCGGTGCTGGTGTAGGGCTTGGCGTCGGCAGGGACGTCACCCCCCCGCCACAGGCGCAGCACATGTCCCCCGATGTGAAATCAACATCGTCGAATAACGAGCAAATCCCCGAGTTTGACCAATATGCAGCGCAAGAGTGGCCGAACACATTTTCGGCTCCATTGTCGGTGTCTGCGCAAGTGCCCTGCGAGCACTTTTCCCCTGTCCATCCCTCGTCGCAGACGCACGTAGCATCAGAACAGGTCGTCCCAGTGCAAGATGCAGAGCATGTCCCATGGCCACTGCAATGTTGTGCGCTCGTGCCCGATGCCGTGCTGCAGCCGCATAGATTGCACGAAGAGTCGCAGTCCCCCCAGCTAAGGTAATTGGCGCATGATGCGCCCCAAGAGATCTGAGTAGCGCAATCGTTGAGCCATGGTGTATTGTCGCGAGTGTTGACGCACGCCACCGTCGGTGGCGGAGCAGGCGTCGGTGGTGGAGCAGGCGTCGGCGTCGGCTCCTGACCACCGCCGCAGGCGCAGCACATGTCCGAGGATGTGAAATCGCCATCGTCGTAATAATAATATTCGCACCCGGTGGGGTTGTCCCCGTAGACGGCGCAGGGGTTGCCCATCAAATCTGTGGCCCCATCGTCAGTGTCTGCGCAAGTGCCCGCCGTCGGTGGCGGAGCAGGCGTCGGTGGTGGAGCAGGCGTCGGCGTCGGCTCCTGACCACCGCCGCAGGCGCAGCACATGTCCGAAGATGTGAAATCGCCATCGTCGTAATAATAATATTCGCACCCGGTGGGGTTGTCCCCGTAGACGGCGCAGGGGTCGCCCACCAAATCTGTGGCCCCATCGTCGGTGTCTGCGCAAGTGCCCGCCGTCGGTGGCGGAGCAGGCGTCGGTGGTGGAGCAAGCGTCGGCGTCGGCTCCTGACCACCGCCGCAGGCGCAGCACATGTCCGAGGATGTGAAATCGCCATCGTCGTAATAATAATAATATTCGCACCAGGTGGGGTTGTCCCCGTAGACGGCGCAGGGGTCGCCCACCAAATCTGTGGCCCCATCGTCGGTGTCTGCGCAAGTGCCCGCCGTCGGTGGCGGAGCAGGCGTCGGTCCACCGCCGCAGGCGCAGCACATGTCCGAGGATGTGAAATCGCCATCGTCGTAATAATAATAATATTCGCACTTGGTGGGGTTGTCCCCGTAGACGGCGCAAGGGTCGCCCACCAAATCTGTGGCCCCATCGTCGGTGTCTGCGCAAGTGCCCGCCGTCGGTGGCGGAGCAGGCGTCGGTGGTGGAGCAAGCGTCGGCGTCGGCTCCTGACCACCGCCGCAGGCGCAGCACATGTCCGAGGATGTGAAATCGCCATCGTCGTAATAATAATATTCGCACCCGGTGGGGTTGTCCCCGTAGACGGCGCAGGGGTCGCCCACCAAATCTGTGGCCCCATCGTCGGTGTCTGCGCAAGTCCCCGCCGTCGGTGGCGGAGCAGGCGTCGGTCCACCGCCGCAGGCGCAGCACATGTCCGAGGATGTGAAATCGCCATCGTCGTAATAATAATATTCGCACTTGGTGGGGTTGTCCCCGTAGACGGCGCAGGGGTCGCCCACCAAATCTGTGGCCCCATCGTCGGTGTCTGCGCAAGTGCCCGCCGTCGGTGGCGGAGCAGGCGTCGGTGGTGGAGCAAGCGTCGGCGTCGGCTCCTGACCACCGCCGCAGGCGCAGCACATGTCCGAGGATGTGAAATCGCCATCGTCGTAATAATAATATTCGCACCCGGTGGGGTTGTCCCCGTAGACGGCGCAGGGGTTGCCCATCAAATCTGTGGCCCCATCGTCGGTGTCTGCGCAAGTCCCCGCCGTCGGTGGCGGAGCAGGCGTCGGTCCACCGCCGCAGGCGCAGCACATGTCCGAGGATGTGAAATCGCCATCGTCGTAATAATAATATTCGCACTTGGTGGGGTTGTCCCCGTAGACGGCGCAGGGGTTGCCCACCAAATCTGTGGCCCCATCGTCGGTGTCTGCGCAAGTGCCCAGCGTCCTGCGGTCGTCCCAGTGGCCAGTGGTTGTGTCAGGCACCAGGGCTGTGCGCATCGCGGCCGCTGGCCTGGCGGACACCGCTTCCTCTAGGTCGGGCATGTCCTCCTACAGGCGGATTTTAAGAGAAAAACGAAACATGGGCCAAAACAAATTCTAACATAGTCAAAAATAGTCGAAACATCGTCCCCAGACCATTTTGGTTGACTCCTTTTGCAGATTCCTCCTGTAGAGTGACCTGCCCGACGTAACGCTTCCTTCAGCGCACGGCCTTCCGCCTCCAGCGCCGCGCGCAGCGCGCGCCGCGCCCGCAGCAGCTCGGCGCTGGCGGAGCAGCCGTCGGACGACTGCCCGGCCGCCGTCCGGGCGGCCGCTGCGCGGGCGGCGGCCTCCGCCGCGCGCGCCGGGGCCACCCAGGCGGCCAGCGCCAGGGCCAGGGACGGGCGGCGCCTGACCGCGGGCATCGCTCCGCAAAGGCAGGGAGCCGGCGGTACCAGCGCGCCTCTCGGGCCATCTTGGGACGATCTTAGGGGGCCTGTTGGGCCGTCCTGTGCGGTCGGAAGCCTGGAAAGGCTAGAATCCAAACAACTCACCAAAAACTGGGACATTCATGTTTTTTGCCTTCTCCAGGTCCTGTTAGGGCCCTGTTGGGCTCTCCTGGGTCCTTCTTGGCCCGTCCTGGGGCCCTTCTGGGCTGTCTTGGGGTGTCTCGGAGGCCTTCGGCCGCCTTGAAGCTTTCCTTCAAGCCTCTTGGGGCCATATTGGGAGCCTCATGGGGCCCACTTGGGGCTCTCTTGGGAGCCTCTAGGGGGTCCTCTGGGGCCGTCAAGGGGGCCCTCTTCGGGCGCCTTGGGGCCCTCTTGGGGGCGTCTCGGGTTTTTGGGACGATCTTGGGGGCCTCTTGGGCCGTCCTGGGCCGCCGCAAACCCGAACAGGCGAGACTCCCCAAAACATAGAAAACATGGAATGACAATCGACGTTGTTGGGCCCGTCGGGAGCCCTTTCGGGCCGTCTTGGGGCGTCTTGGAAGCCGTTGGCCGTCTTGAGGCTCTCTTGGGGGCCTCTTCGGGCCCTCTTGGTAGCCTCTTGGGGCCGTCTTGGGGCTCTCTTGGGGCCGTCTTCGGGCCCTCTTGGGCCGTTCTGGGGCCCTCTTGGCCCGTCTTGGGGCCCTCTTGGGGCCCTTCGGGCCGTCTTGGGACGATCCTTGGGGCCTCTTGGGCTGTCCTGGGCCGTTCTTGACCCGGAATGGCGAAAATCACACGAACATGTAAAACACAACTTTAGGAAGATCAGTGACATACTCTGGGTTTTTAGCGGGAGCAACTCTCTCTACTAAACTCGATGGTCGAAGCGACTCGGATCCGAGACATTGGCGGCGAGGGCCGCGCCTCGCCGCCGTTCAAAAATCACACCCTGGAAAGAAAAAAAGGTTTGGCGAGCCCGAGGTGGCTCGAGAAAGGAGTGGAACCAGCATGACTGCATATTGACACGGTGAGGAGCGATGAGACCGACGCCCCAAACCCCGCTGAGTGATTCATCGGCACGTACCCCCATGACTTACTTACCCTTGGGTTTTAGCGGGAGTGACACTCTCTACCAGGCTCGCTGGTCGAAATGACTCGGATCCGAGACAGCGGCGGCGAGGGCCGCGCCTCGCCGCCTTTCAAAATCACACCCAAGTCAGATTCCCCAAAACACAAGCTGCTCTCGCACCGTAAGGTACAGAACACGGAGGGCTGCCAAAACAATAGAACAGACGGCCTCTTGACAACGTGTGGGAACGAGCTCTGAGGGCCTGGCGGGGCGAACCTGTTTCCGATGGCCGTCGCGGGCTCGGACGCCAGGACGTCTTAGGCCAAGGCGGGTCATGCTGGCAACCATTGCACTGGTGAGAACAACTGTCACACCGAACAGTGAGCAATCTCGATAACGACGCGTGTGAGAAACCGCGCGCTCACGCGCCCAAACTGGAAACGAGAGGCAACCTGATCCGTCTCGGAGGGGAAACAGGACATAGCCGTCGGAACTCCCAGTCTGCTGGCGTCGGAGAGTACTCGGACAAGGCCCGTCGTGATCGATTCAGCGCGCGCAGAAACAATGGCAGCGCCAACCTTCCCCAGACTCACGTCGCATCGGAGGCGGAACGGGGCAACGTCACTAAAGCTCTCGTCTTGCCAGTGACGGACCCAGGAACCACTCTTCACCGCGCAGCATGGGGCGCAGGCGCGGGCGTCGATCACAGCGGCGAAAAGGCGTCGTTCATTCGCGGGCAGTGAGAAACGGGTTTTGGCAGCGCCCGCCTGTGCACCAAGATCTCCGCGAACTTTTCCTCGCGGCGCGCGGCGTGCAACCGAGGCCAAAGAGGGTGCGCGATCTAAATCGCGCTGAGCTGTGTGCCTCTTTCGCGCCTCGCGATCGAGCGGTCGGCCTTCCAGCCGGTGCGCTTCTTGACATCGGCGAGGGTGCGCCTCCGAGAGGCCATGCCCGAGCTGGCGCCGCAGTGGCGAGCCGTGTAGACCATCGAGTGGAACCTTAGGTCCCATGCCACCTCTCGCGCCGTGGCCGCCAGCTGCGGGCGGCTGAAGGCCCCCGCTCTTGCGCCGCGGGGCAGCTCCTTGAGAGCGCGAAGCATGGGGGAGGCCCCCCCGCCAGGTGGTGCCCGGCTCGGTCGTCGCGTCGAACTCCTGGGGCGTCGACGGGGCGCCAGTTCTCCAGCTGTGTATGGGGTTAGAGTACAAAGGTACAGAACCCCTGATCCGGAGGTAGAGGAAGGAGGGACAGATAGGGATCTTTTCCTCCTGTGCGATCAGCGTCCTGATCTAAGCCAACACCTGAGCCCAACAAGCGAGCAAACAGGCGAGTGAGGAGTAGAGATGAGGGTACGAGACGTCCTGGCCAAGGCAGGAGGCCGTACTGGTAACTTGACTTGCTCTCGGTCAAGAGGATGTGCGTGATTTGGAGTCATCAATCCTTCCGTATAGAGGCCTGGCGGCATGCAGTAGCCATCCTTATAGAGATCGATCGTATCCTTGGCCGTATCCTGAGACCACTGTCCAAGCATAGCGCATCCAACCTTTGACCAATCATTATGCAGGATCCGCCACTCGGCATCCAGCATGTGCGTGGTAAGGTCCATCGGAGGGCACATGCGATTTTGACACGGCATTGTGGCGTTCAGATGGTCAGGCAAGCTGCGGATAGCTTCCTGAACAGCGGTGTTCCGTGTGAACAGACTTGACAGCGTACACATGGCTTCCAGCATCGAAAGCCATGGGGTCGCCGTCGCCGTGTTGTATTCACAGTAGGCGTTGCCGCCGACAGGCCCCGCTCGATTGCCGACCGCCCCAGTCGCGTCCAGCGTGGCGGCGCGGGTGGTCTCGATGAGAGCGGAGTCGGCTGGCGCGCGCAAGTGGTACTCGGCGCTATTGTCCAGGCGGCGCTGATGAAGGAAGTGGTATCCGTCATCCTCTTTACGATTGCGGCCTGTCTGAAGTACGAACGCAGGGCCCACGCGATCATTATCATCAGCTTCGGGATCATGGAGGACGTCGCCTCCGACGGCCCAGCCGACAAGTTGGAGAGGTGGGGCCTGATTCGTCCCAGGTGGGGGAAAGTCGGGGGCGGAACCATTCCCCTGAACAGTGGGTGCGCGCGGTGCGAGCAAGATGCTGGTAAGCGTAGTTGCTCGAATCGTAAAACAGCTGCGGGAGCAACGTGTCGTGCAACAAAAGTCCTAGATCTGGCGGGGCCAAGGGGTGACGAAGAGGACTGACTAAAGCGTCTACCGTGTGGCGAACGGGCCCGTGCACGAGGTTGGCGAGAGGCGCCAGCCCCGGCAGGGGCACCGATATGGTACATGCATGCATGTAGTCCCCCGTGGTCCTTTGACCCCGCGCATTTTTTTCCGCATCTGGTGCCTGGCGCCCCCCAATGTTGACGGTCAGTGACCGGTATCTCACAAGTCTCTACACGTCCATCCATTTTCGGAGGTTCGGCAAAGTGCGGTAGACCATCGGGCCTCCTGGGCCCGCGCCATGGTCTCCAAGGGTTCTTCGGAGGACACTGCATGGGGGTGATGGGGATCATGAGGGATAGTTCCAGTAAGTCCCGCCAGAGATCTGCTTTCTTAAGCTCAAAATGTTTGATCATGATGTCGACAACCTGTTCTTTAATGCCGACATATTTAAGCTCGACATGTTCGAATTGACATGTTTCGCACATCCAGTCCAAATTAATGCGACGAGTGCGATGAAGATGACGAAGTGCTGGTGCACGTTCCTTTTGGACAATCTTGATCACGGCCTGGTTGTCCTCCAGGACAATAAGATGCACTTTTGGCGAGCTGCTCGTAGGAGCAGGTTCTGGGTCCACGTGTAGCAGAGTACCTTCGTGGGAAATCGTGCGCCTCTTGGGAGTCGTAAGTGTCTCCGACTGCAGCGGGGGCTACCTCCGGCTAGGAGAAGATCCCCTTGTAGGGAACGCCTTGCGAGGCGGTGTCTTACGCCGCCGCTTTTTGGCAGCCAGGGTCGGACATATCGTCGAAGCGACGCGTCCCGAGCAACCTAGGCGGTTGGTCTTCTCTTTGCAGGTGCTGGCAACCTCTACCACGGCCTCCCAGAAGGAAAGCAGTGGAAGTCCCTCAAGGCGTAGTGCAGAGTCAAGAGCGACGATCTCGGACTCCGTGGAGGAGTGAGAAACGACCGTCTGTTTCTTGCACACGGCATTGACAGGGAAGGATGTATTTGGTCCAACAAGTGCCGCGAAGACGCCTGTGGTGGACTTGGAGGAAGAAATGCAGTCGGCAAATGAGGCATCGGTGAAGAGCATGATGGACAATTGGTCCTGCGTGTCACCGATCCATCCATGTAGACAATGTGTACGAGTCGTCTTGAGGTAGCAGATAAGCCGATGAAGGCGTTTGTCACACGGAATGTTCCACTTGGTATTCTCTCTGGCTAACATGCACACCGGGTGCAATATATCAAAACGGCAGCATCGTGCCAAACAGAAAATCTGCATTAACGCGCTCGCCGCGTCCTGGCCGAGAATGCCCTCGTCAGAGTAGTCAGACTCGGTAAAAGAAA